ACACTGGCAATTGCCTTTAACAAATGACATTAATTTTCTATAATCACTCATTTCTTTCAGACAGTGCCTTGTATATCGTAGGTATGGTAGCAAGCAGAACGTGTGATACACAAATCGCCACAATCGTATCTCAGCCTGAGGAGAAGGAGCTACCTGTATCTCAGACGCCAGGACAAGGGTGAGTGGGATCTCACAGCCTTCTCTGGGTAAAAAACATCAGAATCCCACACAAAAGTGCTCTGTATTCTGCTACTGTGTGGAAATGGGAAATCGTATTATTCACAGGAAGATCCTAGGAAAGGAACTGGAATGCACCTGTCATTTGAATGACAACATTCTTGTCTTCAGCAAAACATTGTTCATGTGCATACCATTTTCAAAAGAGTTCATATGAATTCTAAAGCTGCAAGTGGAGTTAGTAAAGAATTGCTGGGTCTAAATGCTATCATTAATCTATAACCATCAAATACATCTCACCACCCAAAACACTTTGAAAAATCTGTTGTCCAGACCCCAAAAAAATAAAAAGGAAAATGTGCAGTAAGTGCAAGAGTGCAGAGATTTTGAGTGCTTAAACACAAATAACTGAAGGATCTGAAGCTTGTAGCAACAGAACATTGTGCCCAAAGGTGCTGCATTTAATTAGCAAGATTCTTTGGTTTCACCTATCAATATTATTTTAGTGTCTGTTTCATGTTACATTAGGAAGTCTGATCTTTCCTTGGCATGAATAATCAGGCAGTATTTATACAACCTAAATCACTGAAAAAAACATCTAACACAAGTAAATGGCATTACAATTGCAAGACAACCAAGAATGGAAGACAGAGAAACTCATGAGAGAATTCTGCAACTAGATCAAACACATAGTAGAAACAAGTGTGTGTAATTAAAGCACAGTCACAAAGGGATTCAGAGACAGAAGAGAATCTCCTCTATAATTGCTATACAAGAGTTAGACTAGCAAAAATCTTTTCCATATTTTTTACATGTTGATAGTATATTTATAACCATAATCTAAAATCAGAAACTAATTATGTGTTTGTCACAACCGCTGGAATCATATAAAAATAAAATAAAATTGGCACACCAATGACTGAGCCAGTAAAAAGATGGTTGACTCTGCTGTACCTGTAGGGAAGACTTAAGGTGTTCTTCTAGGCTGGACCACAACCTAGCGAGCAGCCCTTAGATCACCAAATAGTCATGAAGATTAGCGCAATTCTGGCTTTCCAAATTTAGGATTAGACATGCGGATGCTGAGCCTGAATCCATACTCAGGCAATACTCTCCATGCATAAATGGAAGATTCAGAGATCCTGGAGTGGTACTTTTTTATACTACTTTGTACTTCTTTATACTACTTTATAATGCAGTATAAGTGCTACGGAATTAGACACCACTGAAATCAATGGAAAAACTCCCACTGGATTACTACAGACAGGATTTCATCCTGCAGGTCTACATGGGACTGTATTTCTCCAATGGAAATGCAGCAGAAAAGACCTCTTACAAAGCGCTTCTCGGCCTGCTGTAATTCATTTTTCACCCTGCTTGTGCACCCAGAAAGGGGCACAGTTTTGAAGTCGTTTCTGAGACAAGGAACCAGTTACCCTCTTATTAACAACACTGCAAATCTAAAGTGATAACAGCAGAGCAGAAGTGCATATACTCTAGCCAAGTCTTTTTGTTTGAGAAAGAAATTGTTTAGACTACAGAACCAGTAATATATGAAAGAATCCAAATGTGATACAAAACCCAGAGGACATGCTCAGCTGTCATCTTAGGACACAATCCAGCAAGGCACTTGAATACACGCTTAGCTTTAAGCATACAATCAATCCTACTAAAGTTAAGCTTTGCTGGATATGGAATGTCTTTTTTTCTGAGTTGTATTACTTTTCAGTGTTAGCGTGCTGGCAATTTTCAGATTGCAGTAACAGTTTTCCCTCTCACATCCACCAGCTTTCTTTTCACTCTGGAGCTGAACATTAACTTACACAACATTGTGACATACATTCCAGCTAATTTTTGCAATGGTTAGCAGAACAAAATGGCTACAAAATTTTACAGACATAATCTGAACAGATGCAATATAAACTACCAATTTCAGGAAGCCAAGCACAAATCGCTGCTTTCTTGCTTGGAAAATTGCAAAATATGTGGTGGTTTCCCAACTGCGTGAGCAATTTCTTTTGTACATGTGAAAGGCACTAGTCTGCTGTTACTCAGCAGTATCTTCCTGAATTACTGCCACATTCTGGAGCAGGCATACCTGACATCTAACCACCTGTCAGTCAGATCTTCCCACACGGCTTGGTCTATAACTGTTATCTTTATTTGTTTTAGTATATGGATAAAATCTATATAGGGACTCTTTAGCATAAAGTACTTTACAATATTTTTGTCATCAAAGCCCTGATATAGTGTCTCATAATTCTTTGGCAAACAACATACCCCTAGTCATGTGGTGCTGTTAGAGGAAAAGTTTATTAACATTGTAAATAATAATAAGCATGGCAAGATAACTGGTTTTTAACAGAAGGTGCATTTGACACTGCCTCAGGAGGTGCAACATTAAAATTGAGTACAAATTCAATATAAATTTTCCTGAACTGGGCCTGCATTTTAGTGAGGACTTCCAGAGGTGACAGGCATTTAAGGTCAGTATTACCTTATGGGATTGTCACTAGTGACAAGAGAACACACAGGCTTTCTGGTGCAAGTGATATTTCTACTATAAGAATGTTACCAATTTAGGCAGAAATTTGAAATGATGTCTGAAGTACTGACCATTAGCAAGCATTTTTATACATGTTTGGGCCAGGGAACAGCTGCTGATGGAACAAATTGGTGCCCCTACTCTTAAAGAGTCAGCTGGCTCAGAACTATGAAGGTACAGTACAGTTTGCTGGGTCTGGCACTGTAAAAGCTGATGCCCTCACCACTGACAATTCAGCTGACACCTCACCACCGTCAACTCACTAAGCATTCAAAACTAGATATTGGAAACCTTTTGCAGTATAAAGACATCCGGGCAGCCTGCATTGCACACAGAAGAGCAAATGTTTGCTTGGAGGCACCTAGTTCTCCAAGAACATGGAAAGGCAGAACCCAGGAAGAGTCCATTTAACTCAGCTTCTATCTCTACTCTTTTCATACCTAAAAGTATGAGCAGCAAAGCATCCTCCTGGAAGGAGAGGAATGCTCCAGCATGTGCGCAGCTGCAACACGACACTCATGAAGACAAAGATGAATTCAACCCCTTCTGCTTTACACCACAGCCAAAATGTCTTGAATGCCAGGAAAGAGGTCATCTGCATACTCGAGGACAAGTAAGTCTACCGTCATGCTTGCCTAGTCAAAAAAGCATTTTAATAATGAAAGATTTGTTGCCATGTTAGGACTGGTTAGTTTAACTAAGTAAGCTGAAAAATCCCAAACCTTAATTGGGTACTAATACTGACATCTATAACAAATGTGAAGCAAATATCACATATGTCGCCCTGTTTTCCTTGGGATTATTTTGAATCCAATTCCTATTAAAATTCAACAACAAAATACACTCTTTAATTTGTACCAAAATAATTCTTCAAATAGCCTTAACTGTAAACACATTGCCTGGTGTAAACATTTTTCTACATACCAACTGGTTAAAGGGAATTATTTCTCATATATGGCAAAATAAAAAACTTTCTGAGTTAGTGCTTGTCTGCTCAACACTTAAAAGGATATTCTCATTGATGCAATAATGGGAATTTTTATATGTAGACTAAAGTGCAAAGTATTTATATATTTTAAAAATGTATCAACTTTTAGTTGATAGATTTGCTTTATAAATATTAAAAAATTAAAAAAACTATGTATAAAGTTAACTGTGCTTCTTTAGAAACTTTATGTGCTCTTTCATTCATATACAACTTCAATATATTTTTAAAGTTTAGTAGAGGTTTCAAAATATATTCATTTCTCAATCATATGAATCTAAATCATATGACCTCTAAAAATGTGGAATTTTATCCATTATTCTTAATAATCTGGGCCAGATCTTGCAGTCCATCCAGAGCAATTCCTTTCATCACATTTATGCTGGTGGAAAGGATATCAAAACCTGGCTCTGCCAGGAGTAACTGCCAGGGTTAAAAAAGAAGCATATCAAGCTTTAAAAGTTGCATGAAATCAAATCAAGGACCAGGTTCTCTGGATAGACTTGCTTTTTCCTAGCTGTTTCTTATCTGCACTGCTGAGTGTCGGACACTCATCTTCATTAAGCTTGCAGAAAGAAATAAAAAATGGAGAAGAATACACTACTTTCTTGATACATTAATGATGAATAAGTTTCTTTCCCCCACCACTCTAATGAAATTATATCCAGGATGAGTTTTATTGTCAGAAAGCCTGGATAGTGTTAAGATACTATTCTGAGATCATAACAATAACTGATAGTTACTGAGCACCCAGTTGGATTTTATTTGATTACTTTCCTCTAAATTTACAAAGTGGACTTACTAGGGCCAATGCATTTTTTTCTCATGGAGTAATATTCCACAAATGTTAGTTTATATTATGTATACAGCATTCTTGTTAATGATAAAACATACTTTTCAAGTATGAATCTCAGCATGAAATTATCTTCTTCAATATTCAGATACTCCTACTTTTAGTGTGCATCATCAAAAGTGATACAACATCAACCATTTCCTCTTCTTTCTCTGAAATGTTGTTCATTGTTCAATAATGTTCATTGAAAGGAGGAGTGATAAATAGTCAACATTCCCATCAAAAACCGTCCATGCAGTTCCTCTATAAGCAGAGCACTTGAAGGGGGAATTATGTCCTCAACAGTGCAGGCCATGGTATGTGCCTTGGACTTTCTGGTCCTGTAGTTGAGACATTTTGACTGAGCCACAAAAAGTTCTGGACTTGCCTCTTTTTTTTTCCATGGACAGTAACTGTCAAAAACCAAAGAACTATAAAGATTTTTCTCCAGTCTTTCTATTAACCTTGGTGGTGTTTTTTGATTGTCTGCAAGAGAATGAAAAACACAACAGTATATCCCAGAAATAGGATATTTGAGAATTCTGCGTGAGATCCACACAACTGTATGACTGAGCAGCAGTATCCAAAGAGGAGAAAAATGCTTTGGTTGCCTCAACTGAGCATGTTAAATGAAAGATGTTTTCCTTCCACACAGGTAAAAGTGCTTGTGAGCTGACAAAGCAGGTATGACGCTCAACTATTGACGGAGACATGGTAGAAATGTTGAAAGTCTCCAGTCATTTACAGCACATGTAATCACCAGAATCTCAGTCTCTCTCCTTACTGTAGTTTAAAGTTCTTCTCGGCACATGGGGAAGTTGACAAAAGTGAAGACATTAAACTCTATCAATATAGAGAAACACAGGAAAACAGCATAAAGAAACAATACATAGATGCCCAATTTCCTGTCAAGCTTCCACTTATTTACATGGATTCCAATCACCTGCAAGTAAACAAAGTGTTAGTTAATTAAACTCCAAAGCAGACATGTGGAAACCACATTACAAGCTAGAATTAGATTTTTTTTTTGAATTAGAAATCCCTAACCAAGATAAATACATATTCCTGGTAATTTTACAGATGAAAAGGTAGCATATGCTTTTCTGATCAAGAAAATGAAAGTAAAAGCCCATCCAATAACTCAAACATTGCCTTGGCTCTTCTGTGCTAAGAATCTTTTACAAAATATTACATGAATCCACTTCAAAGCCTCTTCACAAGTTCTTCATTTAACTGAGAAAGAGACTCCTAGGTGCTCAGTTTCAGCATGTGCTGCATTTTCAACACGTGGGGAACAGCAGCATTTGTTCATTGCTTCAGTATCAACTAAATAAATGCAATGAAGTCCTCTCCCTAGTGCCCTCCTCAGATCTTCCTATGTCCTAGTAGTACACCAACACCTAATGTTCATTCTTTCAACAGCTTCAAAAGAGCTGGAACTGAGCAAATCATTAAAGAAAGCAGAACTAAGGGGAGGGAGATTCACATAAGGGTCCTATTTCCAGCCGCGTGGAGTACTCTGAATTACTCTAAAGCTCTGTTGATGTTTGCTGGGGAGGGGTGAGAGAAGAATCAGAGCATGCAACAGTACAAATGAGAGAATAATAGATGCCATGAACTCAGCTGATACAGTTTGTGCTATAAGAGAGGTCTTTACAGAAAATCCTGAACAGCTAGCGTAACATTAGCTACATAATCCCCCTATGATTCCAAAAGCGCTGGTTACTAATATGCATGCAATGTCATCAGATACAAAGGTCCAAAGAGTATCTTTGCTGTTTCATAAGCACTGTGGAGTATAGCAGAATTGGGGAGAGCACAGGAAAAGAACAGGCTCCCACAGCTTATGTTTGAGATGCATTGAGAAGTTAGTGGCACAGTGAACAGCCTTGCTCATTCTACCACTTAAAATAGTGTGCAGGTGATGTGGAATTTTGTGAGACCTAGCCATGCAACAGTGTGAAATCTCCCATGATGATCACCTCCTCTACAGAGTCTCCACAGGCAGCTGGCAAAAAAGATGTTAGTATAAGTGCATATTGATACCTTTGGGATTTGTTTCTTCCCACAGTGGGTTCCCTGGGAGTCAGCAGGATCAGACCCTATGTACCAGCAAAATTGACTTTTGAAACAGAATTATTATTTCTCCTTAGCAAGTCAGGGGTTACAAAGATAAGGGCTTTACACTGCATAACACTTAGCATGCTTATTCAAAGTGCTGAGGTTCACAGCCCTCCCAGAGTAGTCTTCATTAGGGGGTTTTGCTAGAGCACATTGTTATTCCAGGCTGGTCCTGGAAAGCAGACACAGAGGCAGAAGGGACTGATGTGTACCTGGGTCTTACCTCCACATAAAGCAGAGACAGGCCCGGGGTATGCAGCTGGACACAGAGATATTAGAGGACATCACAGTTTCAAGTGGCATTGAAATGAGTGGGAGCTATCCAGCACCTCTACTGCACCAAGCGCCAGGTTTCAGCCGTGGCAGCCCTTCTACTCATGGTATTGTTGGAAGGTTTGGATTTTCTATCAATCAAGGCTTTGGGGATGATAAGTACTTCCAATTTGTCCTTCTAAAATAAATCAACTAAATAGCTAAAAATTACTCTACAATTTGATTACTCCAAAGAGTTATATTTGGAAATATACGATACTTACAGTAAGTGCCACTGATCCTAGTAAAAGTGCAACTGAATAGACCAGTCCTTTACTGTTAATCTTAACCTATAGGAATTAGACAAAGAGGAGATCTTTAATATGTTCAATATATAATAACTGTGCTTTAGAGATCAGAAACAAATGTATTGATTTATGGTTGTTTACATCCTGTTTTGAATAGTGATTGACTTACCATTTTAAATTTTACAAATCCATGACAGATTTATCATAATGGAGAATAGGATGATTAAGAATCCAAACAAATGTGCAAGTTATCCCACCTCTATAAAAACATCCCACCTCTATAAAAAACACAGGCATTTATAGTTTAAAACTATAGTAAAGGATAGTAAAACATGGGCTTTTTAAAAAGCCTCAGTAGAAAAACACTGTTGTTATTATCTTACAGACAAAAATACTAAGACACAGAGAGACCGGCCGATGTGCTTGTAGCTATACAGTCAGGAAATGGCCGAGCTAAACAGAGATATCCATGGCCCTATTTTCCTGCCATGCAATATCATGTATTCCAACTGACAACAAGGGGAATTAATTGCATCCTGTGGAAGGAAAATTGTTCCCTTAACTCCTGCTTCCCTGAAGAAGAAATATGTTATTTAGCAACCAATAAACATGCGCAAGAGATTTTTTTCTATTTGTATGCTTTCTTTTTATGATACATATTTTTTAAATAAAACAAAACGGACAGAGTAAAAATATGCCCAATATACATACGGATGATCCATAGTTAACCACCATGGTCTGCAAACCCCACGGAACTCCAAGGCCCACCAGAATGTCAAAGACGTTGCTCCCTATTGTGTTGGATACTGCCATGTCACCGAGGCCTGCGGAGGATAAAAAAAAACCTCTCAGCTGAAACTAACATATACTCCACAGATTAAAGGAAACTAAAGGAGAATGATCTGCACTGTCTGAATGCCCCTTGGATTGGCCGGAGTATCTGAGGTAAGGAGATAATGTCCATAATCTTTGCATAACTTTTGAAAAGTGCGTGCAAAATATGCTCACTCTAGCTATATCTTCCTTGTGGCTTGGGTGAATGGCAGTCATTCAACACCTGAGGCCAAGTTGATACAGTTGTGCTAGACATTCTGCAGACACAGAGAACCTGGAGATCCTCTGCTGGTTTTAGCGCGTGGATGCCTGGCAATTAGCTCATGTCAATGGCAAAAAGCAATCCTGAAAAGTACTAACCCAGACAGGAGTCAAAGATAGTAAGCACCTCTCAGGGATCAGGCCCTAACTAGCAACGACTCACTCTAGGAATAGTAAAGTGGCAAAGAAAGTTAAAAAAAAAAAAAAAAAAGGTGAAAAGTACTGAAGTCACGAGACACTACTGAATATCTGCTCCTCATGTTCATCCCTGGCTGGCATCTCTTTCTACACTAATGTCAGTGGACATGGTGGACGCAAAAGAATTCTTCTCTGCCTTTGCTAAATTCTCCTAGGCACATGCCTAGCTATTGAATCACTTCCATGAAACGGATCCATGGGAAGGAAAAGGAACTTACGTGCACATGGAACATGCCCTGCAAAAACCTGAGCGAGTGCAAATAGCAGGGACAGACACTGCTGGTCACAAGTCTCTGCATGCAGGGAGATACTGACAGAAAGGTTACGCTTCAGATCCATATTATGGCAGTACTACTCTCTACTCCTTAGATATCTGTAGCCTGTCCTATAACCGCCTCTCTTGTAACCAAGCGGTACAAAAACCTCACACTGTTCCTGAAAGAGGGGCTGTTTTTTGCCGTTTGCATTCACTTTCGGAAGAAACGATATCTACAGTAGTTTTTCTAATACTAAAGCAGCAGTTTGTTCATTTTAAAATGCAACAAATTTTCTTCATATTCTTCCAAAAATCTGCTCACTTTAACACTACATAAGGAAAATTAATTTAGTTGGAAGGTGGTTCCATAAGAATCCTGAGTACTTTTATTCTGCTTTTTGTGAGATTTTCCTGAACACAAAAGTAAACATAATCTGGAAAATTAATTATTTTAAACACGTAATCCTTTTTAATCAAGCAACATCCCTTCTGAAGATGAGATTATGTCTATAGTGTGACTTTCAAAGATGACAGATATTATTTAACAGCAATATTCTTATCTCATACTGCAAAGACGGGACTTTCAAGGTAGTTCATTTTTGACTTTAGAACTCTTGCTGTTTGCCCACTGTTGTGTAATGGAGAGCTCATTATCTGAGAAAAAAAAAAAAAAAGCCTAGGGGAATTAGAGTAGTGGACAAGACTACAATCAGAGCCTGTTCTTCTTCTGTTGAGGTACAGGACAGCACACTGTCAGGTTTAATGTTTTTCAGTGACAAAAGGAAAGGATGTGGCTAGAGATACTTCTCAAGCAAAATAGGAAATGTAAAAAAAAAAAACTAAATCAAAAGTTTAAAGATACGTGAGAAGTACCTGACAGTTTCAGTTATAGAGCTGATGAGGACATTGCAGATAGTTGTCTAAAATCTCTTCCAATTTCTGTACTCATGACAAAGGAAAAGAGATCTGCATTTGGATGAGAAGTATGCTTGGAGCTAGTTCACTTCTGCCAGATCCTCTTTAAAGCACTTCATTTCCCTGGGCTCAAGAGATCTTTTGAAAATCACAGTTTTACATGAACATGTGCTGATCAGCATATATTCTTCAATGTGTTTTAATAGCTGATATCCCAGTCTTGCCTACTCCTTACATCTCTTTACCCTGAGTGATACATACCCTGCATGGGACATCTGAGTGCTAAATGACCTAGAATGCTAGGCTGTGCCCAGTCCCATAAAGCAAAAGAAAACAGGACAGGGATGACTTTTTGATTCACAATACAGCAAAACAAACAAACAAACAATAAAACTACATTTAGAATTGGCATGTATGGAGAAAGCAGATCACAGAAAAGTTATGTTAGATGGTAATTATGCTTCATCGGACAAGGTACCTTGTCTTGCTACTATTAGGCTGGCCATGCAGTCGGGGACGCTTGTTCCTGCAGCTAGGAAAGTAATGCCCATGATCACATCTGGTATCCCAAGGGTGTATCCAATCACAGTCACCTGAGCAGCAAGGAGAAGAGATTAACCTGTGATATTTGGAAAGACCCCCATTCCAATACAGTTACGTCACACCCTGAGTTTTGGCGTGGACCCTGTCGCAAGATACTTATCAATTTCTGCAATAACCAGCCTAAAACCAACTTAGTAAAAAGTACTTTGGACTATACTCCTAAGCAGTTTATGAGCAATACAAAAAGCTCCCTTTTCTGTATTTCTAACAAGACATACTGATCTTTTAAGGAGGAGCACATGCAAAATCCAGCCTGCTGGGGTTTGTTGTTATCCCTTTTCTTTCTCACGAATGACAAGATTTTTCTTAGTAAATTCCCAAGCAATTCCCAAGACAGAAGAACTAGAATTAATTTTTACTGGGACATGGGGACAGAGATACAAATAATTTATTTTATCCCAGTACATGAAGAAGGAACCAGTTTCTTGCATGACTCCTGATACAATCCTGCAGTGAGCAGGTCTTGTTATACTGTCCCTTGGGGATCCAGATGCAGCTTTACAAGAATTTAGGAAGTGGTTGAAGCTTGTAGCAGAACTTTTTGAAAGGACAGGCTACTGTATTTAGGTAAATTTTCAAAGCACACTGAAGATGACTCAGGAAAAAAGGCTGAACAGGTAGCCAAGCGCACGAAAGAAACAGCCTTGTGGGAGCGAAAGGACTGAAGCAGGGACAGGGAGCTGCTTCCCTGTCGAGACTGCTAAGGGTGAAGGGAATCCATGCACCAGCTCTCATATTGTCAAAGGGAAACTGTGGCTCAGAAACAAGAGGGAGCAAGAATTCCCTGCTGTACTTGGTACCGGGGTACTTGGATCTGGCTGCCTCTTGAAATAAGGGGTTTTGCAGCCTTGGTGAGTACATCTCTTGTTTGAGAAGAGGGACACATGCAAATGTGTATGTGTACATACACAGTCATACAAAGGACAGTTAGTATGAAATGCATGTATAGCTTTGGCACAATTATACCGGGAGGAATGAATGGCTGGAATGTAAATTTCTCTTCAAGTGTCTCCAAAACAGAAGGGAGAGTGGTTACTTTACAATGCAAAACTTTATAAATTAAATATTTATGATGTTTATTTATATACAGAACACAAAATTTTCCATGAGAAAAAACATGACTATAAAGCAGCCCACAAATGACTAACACATTTGGGGAGGATATAGCTGGTTTTTACCCAAAAAAGTTACAGTCAAATCATGAGCAATTTTTTTTTCTAAAATATCACATCAAATTTTAGCATACTGCATTTCTATGACTAGATGAAAGAAGTCAACAGTTCCAATATGAAAGAAGTCAACAGCTTCTTCACTGTATTTTCTTTTGAAGGAAAAAAAAATGGATATATGAATTCTTCAAATACCAGAAACCACCAGTCTTCCAATTGCAGGCATATACAACTGCCTGGCTTTGCAACTTTCAGTGTAGAAGAAAGATAACTTCAAAGTATACTTCAAAGTATCATTATTTTTTTTCATTGCTAAAACCAGCTTGAGGTGCTTTCCTATTTTTGCCCTTTCTCTGACTGAAAAATGTACACTTTAAAAGAGAAACTAAATGATAGTAAGAAAGAAAAAACAGGAACCTAGTCAAATCTTCAAGTAAATGTGCTCCTAAATTAATCACAATTTACAGATCTACACCAGGTATCATCTATTTTTCATAGGTTTAGGCAAACAGAAACATTTTACAAGCAACCATAGTACTGTTTCCTAAAAAGGATTTTATTCCACTAGCCCACTCAAAGTATTTTACAGTACTTGTGAGTCTTCAAATTTTGCTACCTGACTTTAGTACGTGCTTCAGTATCAGAGTGTATAGACCTATTTCTAACGGTGTCTCAAACAGATGCCAGCATTTAGACTCCATTCACTACTAGGACTTGGACACCTACATTCTTTGGAAAATCTAGTTGCCACCTTCCTACAAGTGCCCCATAGAGTAAGGATAAGGCCCAAATATTTGTGAGAAAAGAGCAGCATAAAGTTATTATAATTAGAATATCCATTGAAGAGATACACTAATATGAGATTTCACTCAATATGGCAAGTCTCTCTACATGCACTTACCATCCACACCATGAAGTAGGAAAACAAGGCAATCCAGAGAGTGGATAAGACAAATGTCAGCATAAAAAATTTCTCCCAGCGCGGTTTGCTGCAGTTTGGAATGGTGCAAAAGAGCAGGAATATCAATGGCCATGTCAAAATCCATTTGATTTTGTTCATTTTTCCATCTGCAAGACAAAGAAAGGAAAAAAACAGTATGATTTTTCTGTCACTATCCTAGGCCCAACTACACCACAGCAGATAAGATTTCAGACAATTGGTTAAAACTGTGTAAGTCAGCTCATTTTCCAGTATACCTTTCATCCTTGCTTGCTCTGTGTTTATACCATTATCCAAGTTGTGAAATTGCAAGCATGTGTCAGGATATTACAGTTCAAGCCTGCCAAAATGCATGCAAGTCCAAGAAAGCATGGCTGCTTTTAAAAACACAATACCAGTTGGTTTTGCTGCTCTTTCAAATATGTACATTGTTATCGTTACTTCAAAATAAAAACATCAAATCAAAAAAAAATTACATGATGAACTATTTAAAAGGGAGATTGAAAGACTGGTAGAAAAAATAACCTGCACCTTCTGTGCAAAAAGAGAAACTACTTTTCATAGAAAAACAGACCCGTAGACCCAAACTGTGAGCGTGACAGCCTTGCATCATACCCTGGACTGCGGTCACTTGGAGAGCACCTCAAACTCAGATTCTGCAGAACGAGATCTGACAACTATTTCTGCAAATGTGAATAGCACCACCTCGGGCAAGTCACTTAAGCTCTGTAAAGGAAGCCTGAAGATACTGCCTCCCCTCATACAGCTCTGAAATCAACCTGCGAGCAATACCAGAGACCTGCTGCTATTGATGAAAGCAAGTGTGAAGCTTTCCACTTTAGAAAATGGTAAGTATTGTAAATGTGCATGTAAAACTCAAGTCTCTTTTGAGACTTATAACTGTGACATATTTTTCAGAGATATAAATTCTGGAAATACCAGATATATAAGAATATAAGAATTAATAAGGATTTTTTGTTATTACAGTCAATATAAATGGATAATTATATCCATGAGATCAAAAGATGCTATTTTAAACAAAACCGGTGATCACATTGAAAACCATCAAATACATCTCCAATAAATTTATCTAATGAAATTTAAAAGGGCCCATAATAATCAGAGAAAATTCCATCAACTTCACCAGAAATTTTCCTTCAGCAAAGACACTGGGATTTAGGATTTGCTTATGTTTTTTTCAGTTATTTCAATTAAATCCAAAATCTTTCATCTGGATCTATGTGCACCAGGTGCAATGGAATTAAACATTAGACATCTTAAAATGTAGCAATACCTCTGCAATCTGTAAGGCTACTTACAAGCCTAATTTAATGTAACAGTCTTCATTCATTTATTTAGGTATGTACTTCACCTCCTTAGGTGATGAGTCAGCTTCTTAACCTGAGATTTTCTTGTGAATTCTGAGAAATCATGAGCCTGGCAGGAAATCTGAGCATAAACTTGCCTCTTTATTCCCTTTAGCTTGCGGCTGCAGAACTTAAGACATAAAACTACTAAGGACCCTCACTTCATTTTAGTCTTCAAATTTTCAGTGTTACCGAGGAGCTATTACAGATTTTACTGAAAAGTTCTTTTTATGTATAGTTTCATAAGCAGGTTTTTAAAACAGATATCTTTTATCTGTTCTGCACAAGAAAAAAAAAGAAATTACATTTCTTAGTTCACATCTCAATTCAACTCTGCTTACGAGACTGTAAAAATCATATGATAATTCTCACCTCCCTCTGTTTGTTTCAGTTTGGATCATGAAAAGTCTCCTGCTGGTTAATTTGTACTACTTGTCTATCCATGCTGCTTAGCTTGGTTCATAGTCAAACAAGTCAGCGCGGGCTATGCCAGTAATTTCCTCAGTGCTTAATTCCAAATGTACTATGAGAGGGCAACTATCTCACAGGAGAAAATACAGATCTGACTCTGAGCTGATGCTAGTGTAGTCTGACTGGTTTCAGTGGTGCTCCACACAGGAGAAATTCAAGACCATTTGTCTTTTCAATACCATGAATGAAAAACAAATTTGCCCGAAGAATAAGCAGGACAGATGCTATTAGCCTCTACTGATGAACACAGATCCTGCCAGAGATCCTGTCCACTGTCCTGAATCACCTGAACAAATGCTTACCAGTGAGAATTCACAGTGCTTTACCCCGGCACTGCTAATCTTGCTGCATTCTAGGAAGACAGAAATATTGGCAGGAAGGGACTTGCCTTTCCCTTGTCTTTGCTCAGGTTGAATGCATTATGCATTAAAAAACTCATGGGTCAGAATTGTGTTTTTCAGTTATGTAATTTATGGAAGTGGCCCTTGCCACCCATCATGTCACAACCAGACTTGAGAATTCAGAGGACCAGAACTGTGTTCTGGGTTTTGCTGGGTTAACAGAGAAACTAGCGGGCTATTTGCAGATAACCTGGAATAGCTCTTAACTATCATGACTAGCACTACGATACACTTTACATTTGCTTCCATGTAAACTCTTATGTAAGGTCTTAAATTGATCTGGTCTTGCTTCTGCTTCAGATCTTCTCTTAAGCTCCCACTGTGCTGATGGAACTTGTGTGCCACCCAGTGCTAAGGGAGTTTTCCCTTCCACTGGAACTTGGTAGATTAAGAGTTTGCTGCAACATCCCCATAAAGCAAGGCCTCACTTCCTCCGGGGGCTGGTCAATTCATCCACCCCACCTGGCTTCAGCAAATACACAAACACCACCCAGCTTCTGAACTATTCCTTTTTTAGCTGTTTTGAAATTGCTTCTTTTGCTGCTGGTTTGTTTTTGACCACCCACTGTAAAATAACCATTAAAATGATTTAGTTATAAATCTGTTTAATTGGAGTGTGTTTTTAGTTAATGACAAATTGTATTATGATTCTTTTTTAGCCTGCCTTGTACATCTGCAAAGAAGAAAATTATCATCATTAACACTATTATTCAATAAATAGCTGTTCTGTAAAAAATGACAAACAGCCCCATTATAGGACATTAGCTCAGTTGTTTTCGTTTTTGTTTTGCAGTATGGGCCACTTATGTGCTCTGGATCTGAAGGCTCCTGCAGCATTGTATATAGTTGAGGAAAGGCATAATTTGTTTATTGCAACCCCTCATGACAATAATGAAAGAATACTACTTAATATAAATGTCCACACTGCTTTATATTCTATTCACCGCACTCTACTGTTACACTGGATGATCTGTTTTTTTTTTTTTTTGCTTGAAGTTATTTTTCCTCCTTTATATATCCTCTTCTCTGTTCCTCAAAAACATTTAACAGACTTTTGGAAGCCAAACATGCCAAATATTCTAGAGAGGTATTATTATAGAGAAGTCTGGTTACAATGTTTTTGAAAACTAAGAGAAAGCACTGCAACAAAGAGTCCTTTGCTAATGTTCATTACCTTTTTGGAGTGCTTTTCTTTCCAGCTGTTACACTTAAAAGAGCTGCTTCCATGTATGGATAATTTGCTGGCAAAAAAAAAGTTAACATGTACCACAGATGGTAAAAAAAATATTAAACCATATTGCAGCATTAACAAGAAAGAGGTATTTCCTTAAGGCACTAAATAAAGTGCCTTTTCATAAGAAAAATATTTTCCTATTTGTAACATCCATGCAGATTTGCGAGGAGCTCTGTACAAAAGAGTGAAATAAAACTGTGTTTTCATTCGGATCAAGACTGTACCTTCGAGGCATATATAACATGATCATCTCCATTTACTGTATGTTGGTTTGCAGCACAGAGCAGCCTACATTCACATATCATTAGTAATATTCATTCCAGTCTTGAACTTAAAATGCATGGTAACAAGATACACTACAAAGCTTCCCATGTGGAGGTGTAAGCTAGATAGCTACGAAATTGCTGCTAGAGTGTTGTCCATCAGGTTTGAGAATTGTTGGAAAAATTCAATATATGCAAAGCAGCCAATCTGAAAGCCTAATTCATTTCTGAGCATGTGCTGCATTCAAAACACAACGGATGAATATGAATTTTTGTCCCAAATATAGCACACAACACAGAAGTGCCTAAAAGAAATGTAACAGACGAGATGCATTGTGACTTTTCCATCAAAGTGATTTTCCACTGAATAACGCTTTTGTTGCAAAATAAAACATTTCTGAGTCAATGGTTTTTTTTAATTTGCTGTTTAATATTAACACAGCAGCTGACACTCTGGAAGACTGCAAGAAGATTTCTCTTCTTGGAAAATCCTTATTGATTTCAGCTCTGCAAATTTCCGTAGGAATTGTGAAGAGACAAAAGACTCTCCCCACTACAAACATAGGCTACAAAATGGGTAGAAGCATATCTAAGATAATCCCATCGTTGTCAGCCTTCCAAAAGGGCAGTAGACTTGGTAAAACATTCTCATTTCAATTCTTCTGTAACATGTCTCTGAAGACAACTCTTTTCTCTGTGAAAAATATTGAGGTTTTACTTTTCACCTTCTTCCAAAACAGACTATTTTCCAAAACTCTTAACACTTTTCTCAGAATAGAAGGTCCGTTTTCCAGAATACAAATTGCAAATTCCAGACCATGAGATCTTTCAAAAAGAAAAATGCAAATTTCTATTTTCAGCCTGTGCCTTTACAACACTTCGCACATTCAAATTTATGCCAATAATGTTCCCTTAAAGACGTATTAGGGTACAACAGGAACAGGACGTGAACAAAAAATTCACTGCAATCTGCAGAAGTGAGCTTTACTCTTAGTACAGAATTACTACAGCTTTACAGGAGATAATACTGCACCACAATGAAGTGTAATAGAGCAGAGTACTCTCATTATGTCTTGTTTGACTTGACTGGATTTTGGCTTGGCTTATTTCATATGTTTAATGTTGCCATCTACTTTCCAAGAAAGAGGGCTGGGGTTTATAGGCTTCCTCAGGCCCTCTACATCCTTTCTAAAGACTTTCTAAACTCTTCTGTGTACCCTGCTCCTACATGAAGTAGACGCATTGCATTCAACTCTCGCAAATGCAGCACATTCTTACAGTGAATTTGCACCAAAAGGACCCCATGAGCTCTGAGAATATGCCACAATGCAAAACAAAAGCGCAGCAATTGAAGCCGTATGTGAGATCTGCCCAGAAAGTGCACTTTTGCACTGGTAATGCAAAAGTGGTTTTGCACAGGTAGATGCAGTTGTATATAGGCGGTAGCAAGAAGAAGCTCTTCCAGAAAAGCCTTCTAGAACACTAAGGTTAGGTCTTGTTCTGGAACTTCTGCCATTTCAGAAAAGCTAAATTAACTCTTTGCAACAGTGCTTCCAGAGACATATTTCCACAGTAAACTGTTTTCTGCCTTTAAGTCATTAGAAATACATTTCTTTGATACTCAGAAGCAGTTAAAAAGCAAATGTTAGGAAAGAAAAGGAGAAGAAATCAGAGAACATCATTTAAAAATCTGGTTAATTCATATCTTGGATATACGGTTCCTGTCCTCTTATCTGAGAAAGTGTACAGCAGAAATGGGAAAGATTCAGAGATAAGACAACAGGGATGATGAAAGGAAAAGGTAAACTAGAACCAGTCCACCTTGCGGACAAACAACTTCATGGGAGATACCATGAAAATCTACAACACCCTAAGTGCTACAGTGAGGTGCACGAAGATTCTTTCTTCACTTTTCCAATATCAGAACACATCAAATGAAGCTAGTAGGAGTCAAATGCAAAGCAAGCAAAAGGAGATGGTTCTTCACACAACTGTAGTACTTCTTCCAAAGGATGTTGTGGATTTTAAATACTTGCAAAGAATGAAGAGATTAATGAAGAAATTCATGCAAGTCTTTTAAATGCTTGGAAATCACACATAGTTCCGCAAGTTGAAAATAATCAAAGGGCAGAACAGTTTCAGGTAGTATTATATACACTTGTCCTGTTCACATCCTTCCCCAGACTTCAAAAATCCATAGTTGGAGTCAGAATATTGGGCTAGATGATCATTTGGTACAATATTTTTTTTAATGATTTTAGAAGATACTGTTAATTCTTTTTGGCTTCTATCTAGGCTTCGTATTCTGGATCCATACAAAAGTGGACAGCACTGCTGATGTCCTTTATTACTATCTCATTTTAGCTATGAGAATTCTTCCTCTTATTTTACCTAATACCAGCACATGTTATATAATGAATCCACAGTACAATTCTGTGAGAGGGGGAGTTCTTCATTTCCGTGAAACCAGCAGGAGCTGCAAACGCTGAATATTTTAGAGGATCTTGAATACATGACAGTGAATGGGATTTAATCATCCTTTAAAAGCTGTGCAAAAGTCTTTTCTGAGTCCGGACTCTAAAAGACTACTGTGCTGCACAAGGGCTTTTACAAATCATTTTGTTGTCTACATATGCCTGCTCAGTTTCATCCTGCTTTAATTTGATTTTGCATGGTATCATATGCAGCTTCCATAAAAACTATTTGTGTTGCCTCCTCTTTCAAGATGGGCCTGAAACACACCCAGAGGGAAAACACCTTTAAAGATATTTAGGGGTTGGGATCTAGCCTTGACATGATTGTTTGACATTATTCTCCTGTAAAAAAATTTATTCTCTGTTACAATGCTCTGAAGGCCTACTTTTATAACAGAACACCATCACTAATGGTATATAAAGCATCAAATGACAACTGGACATCACTCAAAGACTGATGTAGTGTTTTAAACTTCACTTACATATATTTTTCTGCTTCATAAGAAATTTCTTCTTAAAAAAGCATATAAGACATGCAATTTGAAGGAGCAAAGCTAAACCTAAGCCAGCTAAAGAAAGATGCCTACAGAACATCAGGAAAAAGAAAAAAAAAGAGCAAAAATTTTCTACTTTTTTCTACTTAGCACTTTGCAAGAAGTTGACTTAGAAAGTCCTTTCAGTGGCCATTTTTCATACCACTCTTTATAGTACTGAGAGAATAAATGAACCTTTTGATCCTTAGAAAATTTATATGCCTTATTCCAGGCCTGAAAATATATCAAAAGAAAAACAGAGGGGATTCTGGGAAACCATCTGCAAACTACCTTTTCCTTAAGTCAGACTCAAATGTCAGGGTTTTTTAGGTTACTGCTTGTGCCACAGCACTTCAACAACGACAAAGCCTGACACTATTTCTTTACATTTTTTCAAATTATTAAAGAGGCACTTTTTAGAGGAAAAATAGAATTGTCCCAACCAATAGGTAATAGATACGAATGAGAACCCAACCAATAGATAATCATCTCCAGACAGTAGATGAATAACAAAGCCTGAAAATAATGATTAGGATTTTAAAGATTCACTTCACCACTGTTATGCATACTCTTGGAGTTCATGCTGAACTTTTGCTCCATTGCAACATGGAATGTATCAATGGCTCCACTTTGGCCTGTTACACCTCAATTATCTTGAAAGACTTTCCAAAAAAATGCAGATCAACTGCATTAAGAAACAGACAACAGCATAACTCAAACACACTTCCATAGCTGAAGACGTTTTATCTACTGTGAATGTCACACGCTTTGAAAGCTCCACACTGAAGTATATTTTTATACATAAAGAGGAGGACCACATCTTGAAGAAATTATTACACAAGAAAACGATGATTTGAAGAAAACATAACAATTTGGTCTGCTGGTAATGTTTGCTACATGTTCAGATTTCTCCATCGTCCTGGATTGTAAAAAGATATAAGTGACTACCCAATTAAACCTTCAATCCACAAACTTCCTGGAAACAACTAGATTTAAAAGTCTTCTTTGCCAAAATGTGCATTCAACACTGCATTTTAACATCATCTGGGAGACATTTACTATTATTATTATTGATATTTAATATGTTCACGCACACAAGCATAATTTTGACTTACATTCATCTATTTTGCCATGCAATAAAGACACTTTTTTCATGCTTTCACTGAATAAGCACTTTGAATGGGCTTATCTTTACTGAATTAGTTGATACCATTCTTCAACCTTTGATGAAAGCCTGTAACTATTGACTGCAAGATAGTCCTGTAAGAGCACACACTACAGTGACGAGTGAAAACATACCATTTTTTTTCATTCTTCATAGGGCAAGTTTTTCAATATGCTTGGATGCTTGTTCAGCTACAAGCATCTCTTCAAAATGGTAGCAAATGATGTGATCTCCAAGATATTAGAACTGTGTGTGAGACACAGAAAATTCTTCCTTCTTTTTTACTACATGTGATATTCATTGATGCCGAGTAATGTTGGCATTGAACAGTAGCTGTGTGCCAGATGACTAGTGCCTAGGAGCCTCTGAAGGGTCTAATCTCTGCTGTCTAATCACTACAGCTTTTGCAGGCGAGTCAACATGTAATGTGCTAAGGCCACCATCATAATAAGACTGATTATACATAGCCCTTTACACCAGAGGATGAAATCACTTTCAAATGTGAGTAGTATTAGATACTATTGCTCTAAGAATTGTACACACCATCAAAAAAATTTAAACCTTTTATTAAATCTTTCTACATCTTCCTTCGAGAAGTCATCCCTGTAGCCATTGTATCATCAAGATTTTTATACACCTAGCAACCTTTGGCCTACTAACTTTAAGAGACAAATATTAACTGTTTACTTCAAAGTCACCTTTAGAACAATGCTCATCAGATTTGTCTAACATTTTTAAATATAAACCGGTCTTACCTACTTTTTCTTCACCTCCGACAAACCAGCACTTCCACATGACGGCTGGAAAACATTTCCCTGTGATCTGTTTTCAGTCATGTAGCCTCTGGTTTGGTTTTACTGTCCTTAAATCCAACTTCCAGAGAGTCAAATCAATCCCCTTCCTCCTCTCTCCCCACATACTCTGTCTATTCTTACAGGCTAGTGTTTGGCATTTTAATTCTCTTCCATTTCCTCACCCTAAGCATCTTGAAAGTAAGGCTTACCTGGCAGTGAAAATGGAGACAGATTGTCATGCTCATTTTCTTCCACTTGGTTCACCACAGGGATGTTCCCATTTTCAATATTCTCATGCTTGCCATTCTGAAGCTGTTTGCTTGAGCCATTTGCAGATTGGATTAGTCGTTGACGCTGCGCAGGGTCACAGACAAAACATCCATAAGCTTGGAAATGTTCTTGACTTTGTTAAACCTGTTTTTCACTGCCTGTCCTGTCCCAGTGATCTGAGCCTTGGAATTTCTCCACAAAGCCTTTCTTCCAGAGAGTAACAAACACAGCTGTATGTGACCTACCTCTGTTTGTGAGGTTAGTATTAAAAATTGATCTCAAAATTATTAACTTGGGTATTTCAAGTGATGCAAGTGATGATTGAGAAAGTTCTCATGTTTTTTTTTTTCACACCACATTTTAATGAGCACAGTTATTCTGAAACCCTTCTGACTCAACACTTCCTACTCACACTAGGAGCTGACCAGCCATAGTATCATAACCGAGCAGTAACACTCAACATATTACTGTGGCATTAAAGGTGGCCTACAAAGGACTCATGACCCCAGATTCCTCTAATGATATCCTGCTCTTCTGTCTCCTTCCCATCTCCATTCCTCGTACTAAGGATCCTAAAATCAATCCTACATTTCAAACGCAAGATTAACCCTAGCTGCCCTTTTGCATACAAACCCTATGCAATGTATATTTCATCCCCTACTCTGACTGCTACATTTGCAATATATAGTAAAATAATAGCAGTGATCAATTTTAAATATCTGTATATATGCCAGTTATTACACTGGAGAATGAGGAATGTAATAATAATTTCCTACTTAAAAAAAAAAAAAAAGAAACATTTGTGGTTTGTTATGTGAGTCAGTGCATAGTTGGGAAGTGCTCTCTTTTTAATGACAAATTATTGCAATTTCCCTAAAAACG